TAGTGTTAGTGTTACAGTGTTACAATGTTAGTGTTACAGTGTTAGTGTTACAGTCTTAGTGTTACATAGTTACATTGTTAGTGTTACATTGTTAGTGTTACAGTGTTACAGTGTTACAATGTTAATGTTACATTGTTAATGTTACGTTGTTAGTGAAAGTTTTAGTGTTATATTGTTACAGTGTTAGTGTTAGTGTTACAAAGTGTTACATTGTTAGTGTTACATTGTTACAGTGTTAGTGTTACAGTGTTGGTGTTAGTTTTAGTGTTACAGTCTTACTGTAGGGGTGTTAGTGTTACGGTGTTAGTTTAACTGTTAGTGTTGGGGTGTTAGCATCAGTGTTAGTGTTACTTTGTTACATTGCTACAGTTTTAGTGTAACATTGTTAATGTTAAAGTGTTACTTTGTTAGTGTTACAGCGTTAATGTTAAAGTGTTAGTGTTACTTTGTTAGTGTTACAGTGTTAAGCTAAGTGGAAAAACATTTTATGAGAAACAGTGAGATTAAATCAGAACTTCATACTTCAGTCAGCTCTAATTCCATATTTTCTCATTAGGAAATACATTTAATCAAAGTTCAAACTTCAATTGTTTGTTCAGCAGCTGAGGTCTCCATGAGAATATCTCATGTTCCCAATTTCACAGATTTCCTCTGGGCTTCCCAGCCCATTGTCTCCTTCTGAAAAACAAACAAACAAACAAACAAACAAACAAACAAACAAACAAACAAACAAACAAACAGTTGAGCCAAGGTGATGCCAAAAAAACAACCAATGCTTATCACCATGAATGGTGGGCAATCATGTAGTTACCTTTTTGTGTTTGTAAGCATAATATCTCAAACCAATGGACAGGTATGAATAAAGCGTGTAAGTGTTGCATCATTATTACTGTCTGCACAAAGTATTTACAAACTGTTTCAAATTTTGTCCTTAACCTTTGACCTCTGTCTGTTTGTTAGCAAAATACCCCGTGAATCATGACAGACTTTATTAACTCTTACAAATAAAAAAGCAGCTTGAGCAAACAAGTCAAACATCAGGTGGGTCTTCTTCAGGTGGACCCAAAACTTAGGCAGGTCATTAAAAAATAAGTTAAACAGACAAGCCTGTCTGCCTATTCAAAGGGGGGCAGGGTTTTCCGTTGGGTCCACCCATCACACTCCCAGGACAAACAAATCCCAAACTCCAAACTAGACTGTCCGACTTGAGAAAAACTTTTAGCCTCTGAGATCATCCACAGAGAAGAGCCTGACAAACCTTTGGTTTAACTCATGATGTCCACTACTGCTTAGCAAACACAAACATGCTTATAACTCAGTTTTACAAATATTGAGCCTAATTTTGATGTGTTTGTAGCCTAAAGTCCTGCTCAACACATACTCTAAGATATGAAGTGCCAAAGTGGACAAAAGCTGGACAAAAAATGCGAGACTGATCAGAGGAAACAGTACGCGCGACCGAATGAGTTGTACATGAGACTGACTGAGGGGCTCAGCAACAGAAAGAATTGTCTGCGAGACCGGATGACTTAGCGTATGACAGTGCACATGAGGCCGACCCAAGATGAATGTTTTACAAAATTCAAATAAAAAAGAGAAAAATAGCTAAAACGGAAAAAGTGCGACAGCATTGCAGTTAGACAAGTGATGAATAACTTCTATAAACATTCTAACCTAACTAAACAAAATGTGTCTTAAAAGTCATTGACGTACAAAATAAACATAAATGTTCACTTCAGTCCTTAGTTTAAAGACTGTTTTACACACAGGAACAACTTTAGGCTTTAGTCAGTTTTTAGTTCAGTTTGTGTTCTTCAGACCTTGTTCTTCAGTAAAAAATCTGATGCTGTTATTTTCAATAGTATTTTTTGTTAAATGTACAGTCTTCTATAGCCTACTTATTGAGGATTTCTGTTTTTTGTTTTTGTTTTTTTGATGCACCTGGATTTTCCCACTGTTGGACAAAAATAATTATTTCTATTTTATTTTGTGATTCTTTGTGATGATTTTCTCTTTTTATTTTAATTTTGTAAAACATTAATCCTGGGTTGGCCTCACATGCTATTTCATCCAGTCTCACAACAACTCTTTCAGTTGCTGAACCCTTCGGTCGTCCTCACGCACAACACKTTCGGTTGTGCTCACTGTGTCCTCTGATCTGTCTCGCATTTTTCGTCCAGCTTTTGTCCACTTCGGCACTTCATACTAAGAGCTAAATGACAGAGTGAGATCTTCAGTGAGCAGACAGTGAGTCTTGTGCTTTCATTTTAAGTTTCCATATGATTATATAGTAAACCGTATGTTTGTGCCTGCCATCTGAACTGTACCTGAGAAAATCAGCTTCTCCTTCATGATGTTGACATTTCGACTGGGCCGCCGTGCCACAGCACTCAGCATAATTTGTTCTGGATTATAATTCTGCATTCCACTAATCCTCCACCTGTTGCAGCAAAAAGAAACATTACAATCACAAAAGAAAGTGGCATGAATGACAATATTTCACAAGAAGAAATACAAGGATTACTCTAGCACTGTCTTGTCTCTTTATCTCTGTTAGTGTCCCCTAGTGTACTTGTTTGGTAATGTACTTTAACCCAGAGATTCTTAACCTATGGGCCACCTTGAGGGCCTCAAAAGAACAAAAGTTTTTAACTTTGGGCCACAGAGGGCCGTGGGACCACATTGATTTTGAATAAGGTGCAATACACTTTCTCACCACTAGAAGCAGTAGTGCGCCACTCAGATGTTTAACAACTTTTTTAATATGTAGAAGAAGAACCTTAGAAACCTGCTGAGAATGGAAACTTATTTTAAATGAAAAGTAGAAGCAAAAATGAAGGTAACTCGTCAAAAAACACCAAAGTTTGTCACTAATATGAAGACCAGCTTCTGGTTGCAAAAGTTTAAAAAGACTATATTTTCATTTGTACTTTATCAGGTTTATTTTTACAGTTTTTTTATTTGAAACATTTACATTAAACATTTTTAATTAATTGATTTTATGCCCATAATTTTATTTTTGAATAGTCTATTTTTGTTATTGTTTATGTTAAAAATATATATTTTTGTGCTGATAAGCCTGAGTGGTCTGTTGACTGACCTTTGTGTTTGTTCAAATAATTGTTATGGGCAGGTTACAATATAAAAATGTTTGTCATAAACATGCTTTGTCATTATTTGACAGGTGTTTTACTTTTAAACTGTAAGTGTATTTAATTTAGTTATGATAGTTTAGTTTTAATGTAAATACAATAAAAATAAACCAAGATTTAGAATAATTATCATTTTGATCCATACATTGGTAATGTCTGACTGGGCCTCGTGTCACTTTATGATCAAGAAATTGGGCCCCGAGGTCAAAAAGGTTAAGAACCCCTGCTCTAACTTACATGCTCACAAGTCTCCCGTGCTATGGAAGCCTATTGTCACAAATCACTACAGAGAGGATCAATCTTTACCAATTTTTTTGCACCGTTTATACAAGAAATTGTGTTAAACTAATGTAAAACAACTTTGCCGTTTAGTAAAATACACAGAGGGAAAAGGAGGGAGTAGTTTGCTACACTCACCTGATCATGTGATAGCTGGCAGATGTAAGACAGCAGCAGAAACACAGAACAGAGAGAAACAGGACATAAGCAGTGTCAGAGGAGACAGAGTGACTGTGAAACAGGACAAACACAGAAAGACCCTGCAGCTAAAAAATATAGCGTTGAATGAAGTTACAATAAAACTGCATACTTGTCAAGCTGAGGACTGGTAGACACATGACATGCCCTCTACATCTACTCTACCAAACAAGTGAAGTTGGTATGGGGACCGCATGCACTACCCAACAATACATGACTGACTTAACCAAACACCTGAGAGACACTTTTCCTTTGCTTAGAAAAACTTAGAGAAAATTGCAAAAGGATGCAAAGCTTATTAGGACCAGAAAGCCTTGAAACCCAGCGGGGGAATATGTAGTGTGGCAGACCATGACCCATGACCTTTTGACTAATCAGGCTCTATGTTCTTTAAAAGCTTTCTTGGAGTTGAACTTTTGACCAACTTCCTCATTAAAGTTTGCCTAGGACTGTCCTTAACAGACAAATAAATCTGGAACTACAGTCTGTTTAATCTTTTACGATTAATTATAAAAAAGGAAAGAAAATAATCATTACATTTGTATATTTTTTCCTTTTTGAAGGTTGTTGAACCTGATTATTGATAAGAATTGTAATTTTAAATGTATAGTGTGAGGATGAGTAACAGTTCTGCATTTCATTTTGAGGAGCAGGCAAACAACTATGTGCGGCAAATCTTCAGAGTCTTAGCATTTGACCCCGAGAAGTAAATATCTTTAGAATATTTTACTTTAATATTGTTTTTCTGACCGAGGCCCAAAGTTTTTCATCCAGTAGCAAAAAGTCTACAGGATGAAGAAAATAAAACAACGCAAAAGTTGAAATAGATACCGCATAGGGGTAACATAATGACCCTCGCACGCACCAGTGCACCAGAACTCAGAAGTCCTTATTCTTAATAAATGCTACTAGGTACATCCCAAAATTGTACTGATTTGGGTAGGGGTCTTTTGAGGGTGGGAGTGGGGGGTGCTCATTGCTGGGCCTGATGGATTAGCCCCTCGTCAGAGCTAAACAACCAAAAAATAAAAAATAAAATAAAATAAAACCTGAAGCTTCTATCTTTAATAGTTTTTGAGTTATAAGCATTTTTATTTGTCCAGATACCCCTTTTTCAGATAATGTCTGAGGCTCTCGGGGGTGGGGGGTGTGGTGTTTATAAATAAATAAATAAATAAATGAATAAATAAATAAATAAATAAATAAATAAACTGTTAGAAAACAATATGACAAGACTATTAGACATTTGTTTTATTCTGGTTGTATTCAGAGAGAGTATTTTAAGTTTGTGTCATTTTATTGTATTTTTTTTTACTATTTTAACTATTAGTTTTGGAAAAACATTTATTATATTTAAATGTTTTACTAATCCTAAACAGGTGAGGGAAATTCAAATGAGCACAGCGCAAAGATAAAACTGGTGAGGCCACCAAACTTTGGAGAAGGGCATAGCCCCTCCCGGCCACCCTCACTTGTTGCACCCCTGGTGATTGACAGGCGCTGATGAGCTGAAGCCACAGCAGTGCACATATCTCCACTGGATGTGAGAGATAAACAGGGTTGTTACTGTATATGTGGACAAGACTGCTTCAGTTTGAGTCTGCTGTAGGGGTTTTTGGGTATATTCTAAAATGGATAATTTGTGAATTATTTAAATGAGCAAATTATCTGACCTCGAGGCACCACGCTCTTAATTTTGTCAAAAATTAACCCAAGAAAGAGACGAAAACTTGTTACTTTATTGTAAACAGTCTCACAATAAATGTACCCAAAATCGTTTGATGAGTCCTTGTCCTTGTCAGAACCAATAATACTTTATCAAGACACAAAAGTGAGTTTAGCTTATGTTGGCACGTTCTCCACGGGCCATTTATTTACAGATTAAATGTATTTACAACTATGGTGAGTAAGAAGTGATGACATGTTGAGCCAGGTAAAACTGACAGAGTTTGCAATCACAAGTGAACAAACAAACAAACAAACAAACAAACAAACAAACAAACAAACAAACAAAATAAACACAGAGGTGAGTTTGAGGCTTGGAATGAGGTGAGGTGAGTTTTGCTTTTAGCTGAGGATTTAACTAAGGGCGTCCTAGTTAAACTAGTGAGAAAAATCGTTTAGTTTACCAAATCTCATACAAAGATAAGAATCAAATTACGTCTGAGCACCTGTTTGTCACCAGGACAAATGTTCACTTTTACACTTTTGCTCCGCCGTGTGGGTACCAGGAGGGGAAGTCAGCGATTGAAGGTCATCTCTGGGGGTCGTTTCCCAGGTAGGCTCTTCATGCAAGCTGGATGTCAGGCGGTCTGCCTGTAAAACTGGTCCCTTGGTCAGAGAAGGGGGGGGGGTCACTCCCTGGTGACTCGTTGTCCGGTCCTCTTTAGGCAGCTGCAAGACTTCTTCATTTGATTTCAACTTTGTAGAGAAAACGAACTAAAAACGACGCATGAGTTACAATTAGCTTACTGAACTTCTATAAAATCAAACTCAGATGTTGAGTCGATATTAAACGGTGGCTGTTTGTTCAATCAGCGGGAGATGCAGAAGGACCACCATCCTGCCCAGCCCAGGGGGAAGGGCTGGCAGGCAGGGCCCCTGCTGAGCTTCTGGAGAGCTGTTTCTGGCTTCTGATGTTGAAAAAACTCTCTTTGTCTTCTTCCTTCTTTGTCTTCTAAGAGATTGGGAGTGAGCTAAGCTTTTTAAAACCTCTGTTATGGGCGGAGTCAAGGTTTTAGTTGGCCAATAAAAATGTTACACCTTATACAGGAAAAGTTTTTTAACAAATCAAATCTGTTTTGGAGGGAAAACTTTACTTCAGGACAAAGAAAAAGGGAGTGTTTTAAGTTTAATTATCTTGCATCCAATTAAAAGGGAGAGACATCTGCTTGCCTCAGTAAAATAAAAGTGTCACACTTATTAAAATTCAAGTCCTAAGTTTCTAAGGATTAAATCATGGAATAAAACACACATCTTCTTCAGGAAAACATTTCATCAAAACAATTAGCACCACACAGTTACCACACTGAGTCCTTAGTGGGCAAACAGTTAAAAAGAGAACATAGTAGAGCTTCAATGGGTTTTGTTTTTTTCTGTAAGAAAAATGGATTAGATGACATTCTTTGCAATAAGGGAGAAAACATTGGATACACAGATTCCTTTATCTTTTCTCCTTTTTTCACATTTAATGAAGAATGTAGGTCCTTTGTTCTCAGTCACTGAAGAGTCTGGTTAAAGACATTTATGATCCCTTTGAAGAGGAGCAAACAGACAGTCCTGTGCTTATGGGGGATGGAAGCAACAGAACTTGTGGGGGTTCGGAACAGGAATGTGGCAGTTCTTATCTATTAAGAGTAAGGCGTCAGGAAGTCTGGTGGGGGTTTGTGTGAGATATGTTAATTCGAGCCACAAAGGAAGTTCCATGCAAAAATCTTTAGAAAATAGTCTGAAGTCAAAGTGGGGGTTTTCTTCCTTTTTTGAGCCGTTGTCATAGGAACAAGTGAAATCTAATCAGAAATGATTTATATGCAGGGAAATGCTACACTGCTGACTGTAAACAATTTAAGCTTTAGCTGTTTAGCATAGTGCACTTATATCAATTATTTAAATAATTATTAAACTTTTTTAAATGTAGTTATATAATGTCTGAATTTTATTTTGTGCAATTAAAATACAATCAGCAATACTGTTTGTTTTTCATTGAGTTAAATCCATAAGGAAAAAAAAACAACATATTTACTCACACTCCTAGGCATAAAGTGTGCAGTAACTGTAAGTTCATTTATAAGAAAATAATTTTGGTTTTGTTTTACTGCATTAATAAGCAATCGTTTGCTGTAGCAGTATTTACAGACTAAATATCAGACTTTTTTATGTCAATAGTTTGCTGTAGCACAGAATGAACAAAGTTAAACAGCAGCTTCAGCGACCCACTTTTAAAAGACGTTGCTGCCTACAGAGCGGGGACACAAGTTACCGTGGAAAATCACCTACACCCGAGTAGAGCTGCACTTAAATGCTTACTGAGAGGAGTACCAAGCTGAACGTGATGGCTGTAAATGAGTGCTGCAGTCTTTGAGAGACTAATTGAATTTAATTTTGAAGCCTTGTAAACACAGACTGTCTTCATTCATTCCACTGCCATTGTTAAAAAAACTACAGATGGATAACTGCGCAGGAAATCAACGTCGTCGTTCAAAACTCCTCCTTGTGTTCTGATTGGCCTGACTGAAATGCTCCTGAAGAAATCCTTGTCTATAGGAGAAATCCCAGATGGAGCAGTGAAGGGAAACTAGAATTGAGCGGAACTGCGTAGGAAGGCAAGGGCCAGGCTACCAATTTTGTGGAGTAAAAGAAAGTGAAAAAAAAAAGGTCAGTGACCAGTCAGTTTAATTTTTTTTTCTATTTTTAGAAAAGTAGCATGGCACAAAAGTTCTTGCTGTTTTACAAGTGTAACTCATGTCATTTGTGTACACATGCCAAAACAGTGTAGGATTCTTTTGATCATATTTATCAGAATCAGAATACTTTATTGATTCCGAGGGAAATTACACTTATTACAACTTCAACCATTCAAGTAAAATATTTTAAGTAAAGTAAATATGTTTTAGAGGAGGGTGGTAACCATTGTCCATGATTCCCTGCATCTTTGACAGCATTCTCCTCTCTGCTGTTGATCCTCTCTGAGTGTCCAGATCTACTCCCACAACATCACCACCCTTACGAATCAATAGCTACATTTACATGGACATAAGTAATCGGATTAAATGGCCATTCGGACTAAAAATGCGTCATGTAAACACCCCATTCTTGTAATTGGAATAAGAGAGGTGGTTTGTGCCGACTGATAATCTGAACGACGTGCATGTAAACACTTCATCTTATCCTCTTATTCTGATTGTGGAAAACTGACCTGACTGTTCATGTCTGCTGACTTTCATCCATCGATTTCTGCTCTTTTGTGGAGGGAGGGAGAGCAGCGCTATAGTTCCCAGCAGCACAGAACTTTTCCTCATGTTTTTCTTATTCAATAAAGAAGGAAAACAAACAGCATGTATTGCT